ACTTGTTTGACTACTGCAAGTATTTCCCGTTTCTGAAGATTTCTCCAAAAATTTTTTTAGTGAACCAAACATTTTGTTGGATTCATTTTGTTTTTCCTCCCGCTTTCTCTTATACAGGGCTCCAGACAATCTTATAGCTTTTCTATCAGACATTCTTAAGCTTTTTACCAAAATGTTAAAAATATCAAAAATAATTTATATTCAAATTAGTAATACATTTTTCTTATTATTATTAATAAATATGACGAAATTTTTAGCATGGAACAAAAATTTTACTTACCCTGGTAAACAAAATTTTCCTTTATTACTTAAACTTTAACTATTACACGCTCAAAACACTTAATTAATTAATACACACTGAATAACTTAACGCTTACGCACGAACTAATCGCCCTTTTTATGCGTATGGCTGTTTTTAACCAAAATTATTGTTTATATTATATTCGATAAAGTGCTTGAAGTCTCTTGGAAATGTTAAGATTATGATAAGAAAAGATGAATTCATAATTGTATATATTATAAAATAAACTTTAACGCCTCTTGAAATTGTAAACAAACATCTCGAATTACCGTCAAGAGATATGTTGTTATATGCTTATGTTAGTTTTAACGTAAATCAATCAATGATTGCCAGTGTTTTATTTGTGGTCAGGTACGGAACCAACTAGTCTGTTTTTAAATTTCAAAGCATATATTGTTTAACATGGTTTTATATCAAACTGTTAAGTATAAATCTCATGTGTGAAAACAAATCCTGCTCAATTATCCAGAGAAAGATTTCGCCGAAGCATCAAAAACTACTCTAATCGTATTGAAGTTATTATCCTTCACAACAGGGTGATGTGGCAAGAAATATAAGTTATTTTGAATTACTTCATCCTGAGTAAGTGAGATCTGCTCAGCGTGCCCTAGTTCAATGTATTCATTCACAAACCGTGAATATGCTGCAAACAAGATACTATCTTTAGAAAACCGCCTCTCTAAATTCAAAAACCTATGTTTTGCACCTAAATACGATGATCCTAGTTTATCAATTTTACCATCTACAAATTTGTTGTCTTGCACTATTTAAAAGAGCTCTCAACTTCTCATGACTGCCCTTTTGTATTACAGGTATGCTATCAATGCTCTGCAAGTGAGCACTGACAATTGAAAATGGATTTTTGTAAGTTTTAATTATAAGATCATATGCTACTGCATAATTTTCATTTGTGAGTCTTATAGTAGATATTAATTCCAAAGCTGATAATGTGAGAGCACCTTTTTAATAGTGCAATTTCTGGACTGGCGCTAATTTTGAATTATTATGTATCAATGAATTAAAAATGTCTATAAAAGCCGTCCACTCACTATACTCCCCATCAAATTTTAGTAACACAATGTCTGACAATTTCACATCTATCACGCTACTTGTTAATTTTTCGGATTTTTGATGGGAGTCAATAATTGATTTTATCTCAGCCATCATATCAAAGTATAATTCAGTGTACTTAAGGTACTCATCAGTGTACACGCCTGGAGACATGCTTTCAAGCTGCACGTACACCTCATCCCAGTTGTGGATACGTTCAACTAGCTTCTGCTTCCGAACAGAGAGACCCTTTACGTTGTCGCCCTCCTGTAACATATTTGTTGATGGCATTGAATGAGGCCTTAATAATTTTATAGGTGCCTTCCAATGAATCCGCATCCGCCATTATACGAGCCAGTTATACTATACTAAATTAATATTATTACTACAAGTGCTACACAATGTACAAAGAAAATGAAGAGATCTTAACACATATTACTCAGTCAATTAATACGGGAACAAAGTCAACAAACACACTTATATGAAATGTGTAACAATAGTGAGGTTACTGCAATGCATAGAATTATGAATGACTCACGAACCCCGTGTTTTGAAATACACGAGTCAGCGATGATCCTAATTTTTGTCTTCCACGTGGGATCCTAGTAACACGATATACTCCCCAACTTGTGTAGTAGCTTGTCGATTATCACTTAATCATCAAGTTGTACGAAATTAGTGATTGAATGAATACCTTTTTCTTGCGCTGCGAGCTGAATCCTAACCTCAAAAATTTGGAACTCCCAAATCTTTAAGTGACGACGATGATTTCAGCGTCCGAACTGCTAGCTTGATTAAGGATATTCTTGTTGCTCTGCTTTTTGTTTACGAACGACATAGACAATTTCAATGCCGCATTCGTAAACAAAACAATACACGCCGGTGATACTACTTGTATATAAAAAACTTTCCTCACCACAGTGTATAATAATTCTCAAAAATAAAGCTTGCACTGATGAATATCCGTGAGAAAGACCAAATTATGGTATAATGAAATACTGGATGGGTTATGAGTTAATGTATTTGACACGATGTTTACTCCTCGGCGGTATATGTACAAGAGAGAGATTACAATCTATGCAACTATTGCGGAAAGTCATGTCAAAACGTGAACATTACGTTTTGCATGACATGTCGCCAACATAACAATAACGCGTCGTTCTGACAGTACGAACGACGCGCGCGAAGCTTGAATTCACAGTTAGAACTATGAATAATTCTGTCCACTTATCAATAATCTATTTACTTCGTCAGGATATTATATTTATATTTACATGAGATGTTCATTCTTCGACGGCAAAATTAGAAAAGGGATTAATCCTAAGCATTAACGTACTAAGTGTAGCAATTCCCGCGCTCAAAAGTGCAGGAACTAGGCGACCATAGAGTTATTCTCGGTCGAACATTCAAAATGCCGTAACATTCGGCCATCCTAAACTTCACTCGTCCCCGAGTAAATAGTTTCTAAAACGCGCTGGTCTATGGCTCTGACGTTGTGGGCAACTCCTGGAATCTTCCTGTCTCAGATGATCTCCTTCCAGTCCTGCTTGATCTTCTTTCAGTCCTGTCCGGTCTTCTCCCAGTCCCTGGTCTTCCTCTCTCCGTCGTCGTCCTCTTCGGCTCCAACGGTGTTCTCTTCTTCATTTGCGGCAGGTTTCCACAGCTTCAGTTGAGATACATGAGCTGTAGTACGGTATCTTCTTCCGGTTGCATCTTCCTGCATGTTGATGATGCCGTAAGTATCTCCTGGTAGTATTCTGTAGATCACCATTGATCCTCTGCAACTTCACGGAATCGCCCGTTAGGATTGGCGCTGTTTTGCCATACACCATGTCGCCTATGTTCAAATGCACGTTTCGATGAGCATGTTTGTCATATCTCTCTTTGAATTTCGCCTGTGACATCTCAATTTTCTCGAGAGCATCTTTTTGGAGTATCACTGGTTCTGTATAGCGCTCTTCTCGTTCAGTCAGCTTCCGTAGTGGTCCATAATCCCTCCCTGGTATGTATCCATACAGCAGCTCAAAGGGGGTCCGTCCCGTACTCTTGTTGAATGATGAGTTCAAGTCCCACGCTACAGTCTTCTGCTTCCTGTCCCAATCCTTGCCGGTCTCGTCCTCCAGTGTCGCCTGATTCACGAGTAGTTCAGCGTGTGTCGAATTCCATGTCTCGTGCAGAAGTCCTGGAATCCCTTGGTTGTGAAACAGGTTCCTCGATCCGTAATCAACCTCATTGGGGCTCCATATGTCAGCACAAAGTCTTCCATCTTCCTGATCGCAGTTCGCGCTGATGTATTCCTACACGGCTCCAACCTAACAAATTTAGTCAAATTTCAAATTAGAACAAGTATATATTTGTTCTGTTTGCCACTCTTGACAAAAGGTCCCAAATATTCTACATGAACTATTGCAAACGGTCTCTCGCCTGGTGTTATTGGGTGCAGCTCTCCTGCCTTCTTACCAATTTGGGCCTTTGTCAATCAGGCAGTGCACGCTTTAATATGTTGTCTAATATATCAACGCATTCCTGGAAAAAATTAAAACCGTTGCATCTGATGCAACGTACGATCCAATCCAAAGTGTCCGCCATAATCATGGAATCTGATTGCCATCACCTTCCTCACAGTTTTGGGTATCACGTACTTCTCTCCATCACCTGTGGATTTGTACACTATACTTGACCTTACCAGATATCCCTCAACCTCCGACTTTTAGTGTGGACTTCTCTCAACACTCCGTTTGGATAAAACCTCTATTTTTCTCTTTAATAATGGATCGTGGTGTTGATACACTAACACCTCGTCCTCTTGGGTTGTCATGCTATAGATGGTAACCACATCCTCCAGCTGGTCCATAGCAGAAGCTTCTTCTGTTGGAGCCCTGCTCAATGCATCCACATGCTGCATTTTCTCACGTGGTCTATGCTCAATGTCAAAGCTAAACTCTGACAAAATGGTGTATCATCTCACAATCTGAGGATTTTTCGTCTTATTGGCATTCAGGAACACTAATGACTGGGAATGTGTAATGATAGTAAAATGCAAATTAATTAACAGACTCCTCAGTCTAGTTACGCCCCATATTATCGCCTGGAGTTCTAGCTTGCTGGAACGGTAATTTCCCTCTGGTTCATTAGTCCTGCGGCTGATAGCATACACAGGGTGCATTAGCTGATCATCCCCTCTCTGCAAAAGCATGGCTGCTAGTCCCAGAGAACTTGCATCTGTATGCAGCTCTGTGCGCCTGTCAGGGTCAAATATTTTCAGCAGAGGTCTGCTCGTAAGTGCGTTCTTTAAATCATTGAATAATTCCTGTCCATGTGAACTTTACATCAGCCTTCAGGAAACCAGTAAGTAACCTGCTCCTCTCTGCAAAGCGGGGTATAACCAATGAATCTCCTCACCTCATGAACATTCTTTGGTGCAGGAAATTCCTCTATGGCTTTCACTTTCCGTGAACCAGGCTCTATTCCCTTGCTAGAGATTTCCATCCCCAGGTAGCTCACCTTCTCCTTTAAGAACTCGCACTCTGAAAGTTTGATAGTCATACCTGCTTTCTTTAATGCCTCTAGCACGGCTAACAATCTTTACTTCAAGTCATTCCAGTTCCTTTCTGGAATTAAAATATCGTCGAGGTAATATAATACAACCTTATCCCTCAGAGGTCACAATGTGAAGGCTCAGTTTGGAGAAGTAGGATGGTGCATTCATCAGCCCAAAGACCATCCTCGTTAACTGGCCTGTCTCATCTGGGGTAATGAAAGCAGTCTTTTCCATTGCCTCATTCGTTAAGGGAACCTAGAAGTATCCATGGGCTAAATCTAAAACAATAAACATTGTGTTATTAGCCAATAATGCCAAATGGTCGTCCATGATTGGCAAAGAAAAATTCATTCGCTCTGTCTGTCTATTCAGAGCCCTAGATCACGACCACCATGCGGGATTCTCCGGTCTTCTTCTGTGTCAGTAGCACTAGACTAGCATAAGAGGACTCAGCATCCGTCACAATCCCAGCTTCCCTCAACTCTCCAACAATGCGGCTAATTTCCTGCCTCTCTAATTTGCTGGCTCGATAGGGCTTTGCCCTGACTGGTCGGCTGCCTGGTATCTCCTTAACCCTTTTAGTGCCGGGCGAAATGGAGGTGCCTATGCGAGAAAAACCGGCCGAATTTCACAGTTATACAAGGGTTCGGGAAAATGCTTATAAAAACCAAACGAGAAACGATATTTACATGATTCAAAAAGCTGCGTATTATAGATGAAATACAAAACGAAACAATGACACTAGTTTTTTTGTACTCATTTGAGAATTATAGAAAAAAACAAAGGTATATATGTTTATAAATAAAGTAAAAGTTGAGTTCTCTCGTACAAAACGTGTTTGCACATACAAACAGCCATCTTTTCACCACAATTTTATATGGGTCAACTATAATGGGAGAAAAAATGGTCAATACTATTCGGGAGAAAATGGAGAAAACTACTTTTTTCCAATATTTGATGGCTCTTCTTTCATCTAAGTATGAATATAGCATCACGTCTGACGTGTCTACGCCTCCCATGTGTTTGTTATATTCAGCTACGATTGCTGGTTTTTCGACCTGTATTTGTGCATTCCTTTTCCTGATTGTAGTCGTTTTGTTCTGAGCCTTCTCAAATGTGGACATCAGTAAAACATTTTTCTTCTGCGACTTTTTTTCCCGGTACGCTAATAGTAAGACTTCATTATTATTTTGTGTTATATAAAACACTGTCGACAAGTACCGATAAGGGTCCAAATCCACAGCGATTTACGCCGCAGATCGAATATCGCCTGAGTGGCGACCATCGGTGTTTATGTTAGACTTCGGTACCTCTAAGCGATACGAAAAGGTCGTCGTCCACAAAGAGTTAAAACGAAAAACTATTTTTTTTAATTCTCTCATAGTGAAATTAGATCATTTATAACGTATTACAAATTTATTTTGAGATAGAGTTCTCCCGCAATGCGAATAGTAAAGCGCTACGAGGCGCGGGCCGATATATCGGCTCTGGCACTTCCCGCGAGTGTAGCAAGAGCCGATATATCGGCTCCCGGCACTCAAAGGGTTAATGTCCACTTCCTGATGTCTTTCGAGATACATGACCTATAATTATTTAAAACATGTATCAGTTCATTTATGACTTCTTTGCGTTGGTTTCCCATATCTAAGTCAGTCATAACTATAGGATCTGTCTTAGTCTCTGTTTGTCGCTGTACTATCCAAACTTGTCCTGTGTGTATCGTCAAATCTTTTGATAAACTTACAGGTTTGTCATCTAAGTTTAGTACAGGTACAATCAAGTCAGTCTGTTCATCTGTAACCCTGACTAAGTTACTGTCCCTGGAGGTAGTGTTGTTTCATTGGCTAGTAATTTATTTATATATCAATGAAATATTTTATTATATATAAATATATATAAATCATTAAGTTTACCGACAACAATTTATTGGTAATTAAATAGTTTATATATAATTAAATAACCGGAATAATTAATAATAATATAAATATTTTATTATATATATATATATATATATATATATATATATAATATATAATTAAAAAGATTATTTTACGGAATAATTAAATTTTATATATAAATATATTACTTAATTGAACAACATAAATATAAATTACTAGAAAAAAAATTATCTTCCTATGATTTATCTTCCTATAATTAATTTATATTCAATTTCTATAAAATTTTATTGAATATCAACAAGAATTTTTTTTATTATAATTTTATTATTAGGATTATTTCATGAATGAAACCAAGGAATATTAAAATGAAATTAGGATTATAGTTAATTATAACATTTAATTTGCATTTAAAAAGTATTGAATATCAATTAATCTTAAATAAGAAGCAATAATGCAAATAGTTTCGACCTATTAATTGATATATTTATCCTTATTTATTAATTGAAACCAAACTAGAGGTATATTACTGTTAATAATATTATTGAATTTTATTCCAATTAGAAATATTCAATATTAAGCTTCTAACTTAATCATAGTGATTAATTATCATTAATATTTCTATTTATATAGTTTAATTAAAACATTACATTTTCAATGTAAAAATAAAAATCTCTTTTTATAAATATATTTAAAGAAAAAAAAAATTCTCCATAACAGCTTCAATGTTATACTCTAAATATAAGCTATTTAAATAAAAATATAAAATCAATAAATAAACTACTCAAAAAAATATTCTAATTAAATAAATCATTATTATATTTATTTGATATTTATTATAATTTTTAGATAATAAAGAATAATTCAAAAATAGATTTTGAGATCCTATAAATTCTAATCATCCTTGATCAACAATCTTTATTAAATTATTACCATAAATTAACGGTTTATAAATATAAAACACAGAAATTACTGGTAAAAATCATATATTTCCAAAAAATACTAATTTTTTTTTATTAAAATAATTATACCCAATTTTATAATACCTAATTTCTAACCCTACTCATAATCCTAATAAAAATATAATTATAACTATAATTTTTATTATAAATCTAATAAAAAATATATTAGGAATATAAAAAATCAAATTAATCATAATCTTACCAAAACATAAAGAAAAAATTATTAAAATAAAACTTATTTTAATTATTTTATTAAATTCATCATTTAAAAAATTTAAACTAAAATAATTAAAAGAATTAAAAAATAATATTCTTCTTAATCGAAAAGAATAACATACAGTCAACCCAATTCTAAAATAAAATAATAAATAAATTAAAAAATTAAAATTAATTGAAGATAAACTTTCTAAAATTAAATCCTTAGAATAAAATCCAGCTAAAAAAGGAAATCCACATAATGCTAAATTAGCTAATCTAATAATTCTTCCTAATATAATTATTATATTTCTTATTCCACCTATTAAACGAATATCTTGAAAATTATTTAATAAATGAATAATAATTCCTGAACATATAAATAATAAAGCCTTAAATAAAGCATGTATTAAAAGATGAAAAAAAGCTAATTTGGGTATGTTAAATGATAACCTTCTTATTATTAATCCTAATTGTCTTAATGTAGATAAAGCAATAATTTTTTTTAAATCAAACTCATAATTAGCTCCCAATCCTGATATAAATATAGTTAATGTAGAAATTAATAATAAATAAATAAATAAATTACTTTTTATTAATAATTCTCTAAATCGAATTATTAAGTATACTCCAGCAGTTACTAAAGTTGAAGAATGAACTAAAGCTGAAACAGGAGTTGGGGCAGCTATTGCAGCTGGTAATCAAGAAGAAAAAGGAATTTGTGCTCTTTTAGTTATTGCAGAAATTAAAATCAAAAATATAATTAAAATTATTTCAAAATTATTTATTATATATTTTATATAAAATAAATAATTTCAACTACCATAATTTATTATCCAAGAAATTCTAATTAATAAAGTCACATCTCCAATTCGATTTATTAAAACAGTTAATATACCAGCATTATAAGATTTAACATTTTGATAATAAACAACTAAACAATAAGAAACTAAACCTAATCCATCTCAACCTAATAAAATTCTAATTAAATTTGGACTAATAATTATTATTATTATAGAAAATACAAATATTAATACTAATAATAAAAATCGATTTTTATTAAAATCTTCTATTATATATATTTCTCTATACTTAACTACTATTGAAGAAATTATTAACACAAATCTTATAAATATTAAAGATATTCAATCAAATAATATTCTAAAAATAATTATTATTGAATTAATTCTAATAATTTCCCATTCAATAATATAAATTAAATTATTAAAAATAAAATATAAACTAATTACAAATAACATTATTCTTATACTTAGTAAATAAATAAATCTTATAAAATATAAATTCTTAATAATTTAAAGTCACCAAACATCTTTGACACCACAAATCAATATTTTAATTAAACTATTTAAATATAAATAAATTATAAATATATCTCTCTTTAAAATTAATAAATTTAACGGAAATCAATGTAAAAATAATAATAAATATTCTCGAACCCTCCCACAAGAACAAGAATATAATTTTATTCTTCTTATTCCATGTTGACTATAAGCAAATAAATATAATCTATACCTTGCTCTTATAAATGAAATTATTATAATTAATACTATTAATATTATTGATCAACTTATTATAGAATTAATTAATATAATTTCACCTAATAAATTTAATGAAGGAGGGGCTGCTATATTAGACCTACATAATAGAAACCAAAATAATGTTATTGAAGGTATAAATCTTATTAAACCTTTATTAATTAAGATTCTTCGTCTTCCTGATCGTTCATAAATAATATTAGAAAGACAAAATATCCCAGAAGAACATAAACCATGAGAAATTATTAAAATAAACCTACCTACAATACCTAATATATTTATGGTAAAAATTCCTCCTAATACTATTCTTATATGAACAACTGAAGAATAAGCAATTAAAATTTTTATATCTCTTTGAATAATACAAATAAAAGATACAATTATTGGCTGTCCTCAGTCTCTGTTCTATTGGGCCTATCACTTCCATGTTCGCAAAGGGATGTTCCTCGTTGTACCTAAACGTCAGTTTGTTGTATCTGTTCGTGTAGTACAAGTGTGGTAGTTCAGTAAAAGTCCGTCCAATGATCACATCCACGGGTTGTTTTCACCTGTTTTGTTCCGAGAAGTATTTTATGTTCAGTCTCCCGGAAACTAAGGTTCAAATCCTGGCACAGTTTTCTCTTAGAGTGATAGTATACAATGGCCTCTTCCGACTTCAGTTGGACTCGTTTCTTCATGCGTTCCCACTTCGATTTATCTCCATCCTCTACATGTGTGAATGCATACCTGAAACCTTCTTTAATGTCGTCCCATGACTTTATTTCGTCCCTCTTCGTGTCGTACCAATCACGTCCGGCACCTACCAAATGGCTTATTGCGTTGTCCAACGCAATATTATCCGGCCATTCATGCCGTGACTTTAAACTATCAATCTTTCGCAGCCATGCTTCTGCCACTTCGGTTCTGCCGTCGAAATCCCCCAAAGATTTCGACAAATCCGTCATCAAGTGATATACCGGTCTCGTTTGCTCATCTTTCTGTTTTAGTAACGCCCTTATCATGTCGTATAACAACTCGTCGCGCGCCCCAATTACGTTCGCATCGTCCGCCTTCAATTTGCTTTGGAACTTCTCAAATGCGTCTGCGTTTCTCTCCATTTTTCCTACTAGGAGTCTACGAAAAAACAAAACTACAAAAAGTTCCAGCAATCGCTTCTCGCGAACAAGGTGTACGTACTGTTCCTAAATCGACATACGATTTAAAACAGCCCCCTTAACCTAACTGAAAACACACGTTATTTGACACCGCTTCACTTTCCTAATACAGAATCTCGTTAATATGCTGAAACAAAATAATATTAACACAACACGAAACTTACCACCATGTGGGATAGCTCATTCACACTTCTGAAATGTTAGAAACTTTAATTATGCGACTATTTAATTAACCTCAATGTTTCAAGCTGAAAGTAATAGACATATATAATTATACCATATAATAATAGTGCACATATTCTTAGCAATAATAGCAGGATATTATATTTATGTTAACATGAGATGTTCATCCTTCGACGGCAGAATTAGAAAAGGGATTAATTCTAAGCATTTACGTACTAAATGTAACAATTCCCGCGCTCAAAAGTTCGAGAACTAGACGACCATAGAGTTACTCTCTGTTACGCAATTGTAACGCGCGAACATTTAAAATGCCGCTACAAATATATACATACCAATAATAAATAATGTTTTATTTTTTATTCTTTTGTTATTAATATATTGAATTAATAATTACTTATGAAGATTACTTATTTACACAATCTGTTGCAGCAATCTAGAAAAAAAAAACAGCTATATTAATATTACTCCACATATCTGTATATTATTACTATGAACATTATTATTGTTAAACATGGAAACATATTATGATGAAATGCAGTTCTTTAATATAACTGTTATAGTTTATCAAATTTTCAGATAATAGTAATATCAATTTAATGTAGACAAAATTGTACCTAATAACCCTCGAAATAATTTTCGGTCTATAGCTCGCCGCTTGCTTCTCGAGCCAGTTGCTGAAAATGTCGAAACTCACTGCCATACACAAATAGTAGTACATCACGCTCTATAATGGTTCATTCGTGACCCATTGCACTCTCCGACACATGCTCAACATACAAAATTCTGGTTTTCGGAAGATAAAACCCACATCCTGGTGATAGTTCCTCCTGAAATATTTGATATTAGCCTCGGGTATTTTGATATCTTTCAAAAGATATTATTTCAAGTTAAGTTTATTCATTTATTTACCAGGTTCATAAAATTGTTCCGGAAGCTATATTAGTAGAAAAAAAAAGATGATGATATGTTTATTATGTGAACCAATAGTTTAGATACTCTTGAAGTCTTTTGAATCGATAGCTATCAAATATTAATCATCACATTTAAATTATTTATTATTCCAAAAATAATATCTAATTTATCTGGATATTGGAATCCACTCTGTATGATAAGTAATATAATAATGTTATTAATTATCTTAAAATAATCATTTGACTCATCTTTATCTACTTTGTTTTCAACTCCCCATAGTTGATGATTTTTTAAGGCTTCCTTGGTAACATATGAATATGTATAAGCACTTTAGAGTAACTCAATATTAGAGAACATTATTATTATAATATCATACTATACCTCATACTATATTTACTTACTATATACATTACTTACCTCATACTATATACTATATCATACTATATTTACTGGATATCCCACACAGCACAAGCGCGAGTCAGGAGCGACCTGGGGTTCGCCTCGTGAGTCGATCGGTTAAACTTTTGTTGCACCACATACGTGTATTTTGGTCAATCTTCGCACAGAAAGAAACCTAAAGTCCGAACCCGGTTGCGATATTTGCCGATCTTATTGTAATATATTGTAGATCGAGAAAAGTTCGATTAGAGATCAAGATTTGGCACATACATTGAAAATATTTTGATAATAGGTCAAAAATTTGGTAAATTGACTGAAAATCCTATTAAAATAATATTTATTTTCATGAAAGAAAGAAATATCTAAGCATTTTACTTTAATATATTATGAAAATGATACGATATGAAAATCTTACAATATACAAGTATATAATAAACCTTATTTAATAAAATAATAAAATAAATATAACAAAATAATACAATGAAAAACCTATTTTACTGTTCTTTTAATTAAAAGATAAATAGCTAAAAAAATTGACCAACGCAATTATTTCTTCCCATTTAAAATATATTTTTGCACAAAGTCCCTAATTTGCTCTTACTCCTTCCAAAAAAAAATTGACTTCATTAATGTTCTTAGCAATTTGGAGTTTGGTATTAGCAAAGTGAAAATTTCCGAAAAAGAATCAAAATTAAGACTAACTGCAAAGTTACCGGAGCTGATAAGGAAAACCTTACGGTTGTAATGAATTAGTCTGATTATCTCTAAAAAACTGAAGTCTTTTGCAAGATGCTCAAATATATAAATCTTTAATTATTGAAGTTTGATAAATATGTACGCCACTTTCACACGAAAATTGTGTTTTTAAACACCAATAATAAATATATTACATTTAAACAAATATTTCATTATTGCTTTCTAATTTCCCATAATAACTCTAGCCAACGGTTCTTATTTTCAGTGAATTTTATATATGTAAAATATATTTTTTATTTTTTTTAATTTCTCTTAAAACTTTGTAAAACAAATAAATAGTTCGTTACATTCATTAGATCAATATAAATTGTATATTATATAATATCTTCCCAACAATTTCGAACACACGGACTTTCATTTAACGTTTAAGCTATCGAGTGCAATTGACGTGTTCGTATTTTTGACATATCTCGGCCGCGAAATTACCCTCATATGCCCTCATACTATAGAACATCTTTTGACACTTTTGTACCTGAGAAATGTATGTCATAGCAGTCCATGTATATAAGGTCTATGGGTGGACCTCATAATACTTCGGCATGTAAGAAAGAAAGATCTACTCCAGCAACATGTATTCTGTGTGGTTATGCTTATCCGGCAAACTACAAAGGTTGTCATTTCTACAAGGTTTATAATTATTATAAACAACATAATTATAACTTTCAAGAAAGAAGACGAACCACGGATAGAATTAAAACATCAAATACAGAAGAAACCAGGCGGCCAATAGCTAATTCTTACAGTGACCATAGAAGCTATTCTGAAATACTAAAGATACAACGAAGTAACTAAAACGAACAGTCACAGGTAACCGTTGCTCTTATCACATTTATTAGTGATTTTATAGACATGTTCAAACACTAATGGAACAAAATAGATTAGTCATGAACATGTTAACCAAATTAGTTAAAAATTAATGGCCAAGTTTTTTCGGATTGCTCAATGGAATGCAAATGGTGTTTTAAATCATAAAACGAATTAATATTATTTTTACAACACACGATTGATGTGATGCTAATCAGTGAAATGCATTTAACAAATAATCTACATTTCAAGATTCCTTTCTATTCTTTCTATAATACTAATCACCCTGACAATACTGCACGCGCTGGATCTGGAATATTGATTAAAAACAGTATTTCGCTTTACACACAAACAAATTTTCAAGAAAATTACTTACAATATTGTGACGATTTAAAGAGGTTGATGGTCTCTTTCTCGGGTGTTGCAACGACTACCAAATATTACATCTTAGCGTTGCATCCCCATTACGAAACATTTACCCCAACTCCTTAACCCGACTTCTATAAACACCCTGTAATTACCTGTGGAAACTAAACCAACTAACTACACGAATGAAACCTTTACGCTCCGTTGTCGGCTCCAGTTCGACATACAAAATGTGTTCCGCAACTCCGTTGTCGGACCCAGTCCGACACGCTCTGATCACATCATAACGTTAACAAATATAATAACGAATAAAGTTAATAACGAATCACTAATTGTTGATGTTTGAAATTAACATTAAAACGCATTGAAATAATACTGTTAAAAAATAAATACTTTAATTCTTTTTTGTTCCTTTTTTTCATTATATAACAAACATGACAGATATTTCGCTAATATACTCAGGGAGTTGCTGGGGCGTCACATGCGTCGACCGCGCGGAGTTCAAAGGGTTAATATTACTTTAATATTACAGGTGTGATGGCATGACAATACCTACGTACTGTTATGCCTTCTGCCTAAACTCTAACGTACAATCTATAAACCGATTAACCGGATTAACATAAACGGAGTATCGGAACAAACGGAGTCAACGGAACGGAGGGAATAGTTTATAAACAATACACCTGTCCTTTGCTGTAACGGGTTCTAATCTCCTGGCACAAAACACACACCACTATACACTAAGCGGGTCCAGGGACTCGCGCCTGGACCCGACCGACCTCCTCAGAGGATGTTACATTTCATAATGCCTTTTCAATACCAGACTCGGACCTTATATTGCAGGAACCCTAGTAGACGTAGGTGGGGGAGTCCAATTGCACTGAGGGTTGTGCAACCCCTTTGACGACAATATCCTATATATCCTAATTATATCCCAAAACTAAACTTATTACTATAATTATGTTTAATTATTAACATATGTACATCTGTATATAAGTTCTTATATATATTTAAAAAACGAAGAGAAAAGTGAAGATTTTTTTTTTAGTGGATTGGTATGCGACCAAAATATTCTTTTATTCTACTAACGTGGACCGTGTCGTATTTGTAACTATTTCTTCGGCTATTTGCGTTGGTACTGCCTTCGTTTCGACCCATTGAGTCAGGTAGTCGATTGCTAATATTACGTATTTATTACCCCTATCGCTTTGTGGGAATGGTCCCAGGAAATGCATTCCTACTAAGCCAAATACATGGGTGACCGGGATTGGTTGCATGAGGCCTTGTTGTAGTGTTTTAGGTGATTTTCGCGATTGGCAGTGCGCGCACGACCGTACGTACTCTCGTATTTCTTTAATCATGTTGTACTAAAAATAACGTTATTTGACTTTGTAAATTGTTTTTGTTAGCCCGTAGTGGGCTCGAGTCGCGGGGTCGTCGTGGCATGCTTGAAGGATCTCATTCCTTAATGTTTTAGGCATTACGAGCAATTTGTCTGTGCTGTTTTATCCAAAGTCTTTTTTAAATAGTATGTCGTTGTGTAGCAGGTAGCTACGCAATTTACGAGCCGTTTTATTTGTGACGTGTTCCGGGTTGTGTAGAGCTAGAATTAAGTCGCATTTGTGCTATGTCCCTAGAGTTTGTATTAGTTTCGGTTAACATACAGATTTTCAAATCGTCGTTTATGGGGTAGCGTGATAATGCGTCTGCGTCTGTATGTAAGTTACCATTTTTATGTCATTCGTATTCCTGTATGTAGTTTAATTACCCAACGGGTCAGTCTCGTAGATAAGTCTTATGATTTCTGTAGCCAGCATAGAGCATGGTGGTCTGTTATTATAGTAAATTTTTTCCTCCATAGGAACTGTCTAAAATGTCTGATTGCCCATATAATGGCTAGGCACTCTTTTTCAGTCGTGCTGTACTTAATTTTTCGTCGTTGGAGTTTACGCGATGCGTAGGCTTCCTGGTGTTTACTGTTGTTATGTTCTTGTACGAGTACTGCTCCTAGGCCAATATCGCATAAGTCCACGTGTATTTCTGTCGGTGAGGTTGCGTCGAATTGTGCGAGAACGGTTTGTGATATTAGTTTTTCTTTTAAAGATTGAAACGCGCTTTCTTGTTCCGACTCCCAGTGAAACTTTATGTTTCTACTAGTCAGTACTGTCAGTGGGTGTGCGATTTTCGCAAAGTTCTCTATGAATTTTCTGTATAAGTTTGCGAGTCCTATGAATGAACGAATGTCTTTAATCTTTTTAGGTCTTGGAAAATTTTGTACCGCTGTAATTTTTTTCCGGGTCTGGGGAGATCTCTTTGTCGGAATCTATATGACCCAAAATCGCGTTAAGCTGGTAAAACCCAAGAAACATTTACTTGGCTTAAGTTTCAGGCCCGCAAGTCTCAGTCTGTCTAGTACTGTCGATAGTCTGGTTAAGTGTGTTTCAAAGTCGTTGGATTTTATAATTATATCGCCTAAGTAAACAAAGACAGGTACTCCATTTAAGGCCCCCTAGAACGTTATCCATACATCTCTGAAAAGTCGCGGGGCTAGAGCAGAGTCCGAAGGGTAAAACGTTGAATTCGTATAGTCCGTCTGCTGTAATGAATGCTGTTTTTTGTTTGTTTTTCGTCTTTCTCTTGCACTGGGATTTGCCAATAACCGCTTTTCAGGTCGGGTGTCGAAAAAAAATAGGAACCGTTCAAATTTGTTAATATGTCGTCCATTAATGGTAAGGGGTATTTGTCAGCGATAGTTACTTTGTTTAATTTCCTATAGTCCACGCAAAATCGCCATTCACCGGATTTTTTCTTAACTAAAACTACGGGGCTGGCCCACGGACTTATTTAGTTTTTTATAACTCCTTGTAACATTTCGTTTACTTGGTTTTGAATATCCTGTCTCTCTTTTAGGCTGTTTCTATATGGCGCGGAGTTGATTGGTTTTGCGTTGTTTGTGTCTGTCGTATGTTCAACTAGGTCCGTCGGTTTGAGTGTCCGGTTTTTCCAGCAAAATACGTCGGCGAACGTTTCGATTAGGTCGAGTAAGCGATTATATTGGTCGGCCTGTAAGTCGTTGTTCACAGTTACTTCGCTTATGTCAATGATGTTGGGCGTCGTCGTGTTGTTTTGGTTGCTTTCGAGCTATAAATCGCGTGCCTATCTGCTTATTTTTACCGAGTGCTACGGCTCCGGTGTTTGCGTTCAATAAAGATAAGTATTGTATGTCATTGTCATTCCTTAGTAAAGAGCAGTCAATTATTAATCCTCGTCGAGTGAGTTGTATGTCGGGTTCAAAAATGTATTCTCCGTTACCGTCGTACTTTGAGTCCGGACTACCAATCGGTACTTAAACTTGTTTGAGATTTAATATTTTTTAAACTGTATAAGAAATTGTATATAAAGTTTGAATTGTTGTATGCAAACGTGACTGTCTCTAAATTAAAATCTATGATGATGTTAGCTTGAATATTAAAATCATTACTTAAAATGTCGTAGTCGCTTTCGATATCGAGAACGTAAACTTCGAGTTTCATTTTACACTCACTATCGAGCTCAATTTCTAATTGTGAGACTCCTAAAATATTCGTACTTTTGCCAAAGCCAAACGTAATAGTTGTTTTACCTGTGAAGGGCAAAATGTTATGATAAAATTGACATTGTTTACCTATGACTGAGGTCCTGAATCTATTAAAACTATTGTAGGCGTTTGATTAACAGTTAATTCTATGTAAGTTGCCGGAGTAATGTTTGCCCCTGTACGTGATTGCCCTGATTTTAAATGATGGACTACCTTCTGCGATTGCCCACGAATCGCGTTTGAAAATTTTGACTTGGTTGCGCAGGCCCGGATGAGTTTACTCTGTTATTTGTGTTACATAATATCGCATAATGGCCTGATCGCCCGCAAATATAGCACGTTGGTCTACCTGTAGTGGTTCGACCGCCTCTGTTATGAAAGTCTTGTCCACCTCTGTTGTCAAAGTGCCGTTGTCTAATTGGCGTAACGTCCCGTCTGTGTGTTGTCTGCGAGTTGTCGTACGTGATTTGTGTAAAATGATTTGTTAACTCTTTGATATCGTCTCGCAATTTAGTTACTTTATCGTCTCCTGTGTCAACTCCGTAAATTTGTCTGTATGAGTCCGCTTTAAGTAATTGTGTAATGAATTGTGTTACGTCGTTTAGTGAGAACTGAGAAGCCTGGGCAACCAAAGATTTTGGTCGAAGGCCTTTTAATATGTATCTTATGACGGTCCCGACGTTCATGTTCAGATCGATTTTGTCGCAGAGTTCTGTCACCGCTTGTATGTAATGTTTTAATTCTGCATTTGAACTTCTAATTCTGTTGTCTAAGATCGCTTGAGCCCTATCTTGACTACCGTGTTCCAGAAATGCGACGGCATTTTTCCCACGAGTCTAGAGTATCGCGCCGTAATTGTTTTAGATACCACATGCGAGCTGGTCCTTGTAAGTATTGGAGTAAGAAGTCTAGTTTGTCGTTGTTGGACCATCCGTTTATGCGTGCGGCGTGCTCGTATTCTAATAGAATACTAAGGAATAGAATACTTAGGAATATTGGAAGGAAGGGCAGAAGTGTGACTTGGCGGGGGTGTTTCATCGCCTATGCACTATCCTTGTTTTTAAGACTAGCATCGGTTGCTCCGCCCATGCGTAGTTCCCACTCCCTCAATTTGGTGATTACTTTTTACAACACGATCCTTTAATTTATATATCTATTTATACAAGTATATTTAACCTTGATTCCAAATATCAACTTCACCTTATCAAAAATTACTCATTCATGTTTCTTTCGATTAATACTTTCTTTCTTCATTATTTTCATTTGCCATATCGGATCCCTTAATCTGGATTTGGCAGTCAAAAACACGAGCCAATGACTATTGACGAAACAAAATTAAAGTATTTTCAATAGAAACAAAATCGTAATTTATATAAAAGGGCGTCACGCAAATTAAACAAAATCCCGACGGTATAAACGCGGTAATACACTACAAACGTTCGTTTGGTTTGTTTTACGGTAACATTATCAGTGAACAAAAAAAAACATACAACGAAAATAATAGTTTATATCCAATCTTAATCATTATCTTACTTAACAAATATAAAACTATTATCTCATAACACATAAACAATAGGGCCACCATAACACATTTAACTTTTTGACTAAAAACTTGCCCTCTATACTTTCATTACCTTGTAACAAAGGCTATAAACTCTATCCGTTAACCAAACCAAACCTTTTGCGACGCGCGGTAAAAAAACGACACAACGATAAATATATATATATACTAGCTGACCCGACAGACGTTGTCCTGTACACATATGTCTATATTAAAAAAGTATTTAACTTTTCAATATCATTCAACTTTTTTTTTAAATTATCCATAAATAAATTAAATTAATACAATAGTTATATTTATTTTCAAATGTACAATTTAACAATATTATATTCAGGAATGCAATTCCAATAATTAATGTTAATATAATTAATATTAATTATATAATTAATCTTAATATAGTTTATAATTCTTTTTTTTATTTTAAACTTTTAATGTAGTAAGGTTTATCGTAATGCCAAAGGATATACAATATTCTTGGTGAGATTATTAGGTGTATAAATATATGAATTATTTGGGTTTCTGTCTCTTGAGCAAGCAATATATAGCTGTCCGTGATTAAAGCACGGATTTTCTAAATTTATAAATATATATAAATGTATAAGAAACTGCAGTCTTTTAAAAAGTATTACTGATTCCGAAGGAATTAGTGGTATTCTAGGCAAAAGAACAACATCATCTTTGAATTTTCCGCCCAGTATAATTGCCTCTGTAATGTTTCCCATAATTTTTGTTATTGCTAATCTTGTGCCATTGCATAATTTTGGGGCATTTAAATTTCTTAATAATATAATTGGAGAACCAACTTTCAATAATAATAATATGGACTGGATAATTGACGATTTCATCAGGATCAATAACAGTATCAACTGATTTAAATGTGAATTCATATCCTGGCAGTATCTGTAGTATTTTTAAATTCATTTCGTCTACATCCAAATTCGTTGCTGCTAAAATTGCTCGTTCTTGTAGCCACTCATGATCTTCATGATTATGCTTTAAATTGGAAAAATATTTTCTATTAGTTTGGCTTTGCCATCAACCATATTACAAAAATTATCAGGGAATTGAATGTACTCTATATTTTCATAAAAATTAATTCTGCCATTACCAATATCCAATAATTGTTGTGAAAATTTCGACCCCAGTGCATCATTTAGACATTGAACACGAATGTTAACACTAAGATATAATTTCTTACGCCACAGATAAGACTTTTTTAAGCAGGCATTTATTTCATCAGCACGCGTCGCTCGTGGAATAATGGGCAATGTCTGTCTGAAATCGCCAGACAGTAGCAATAAGCAGCCACTAAAAAGACAATTATTATTTTTGATATCTTTCAGCGACCTATCAAGAGCTTCAAGCGAATGCTTGTGCGCCATAGTACATTCATCCCAGATGATTATTTCACATTTTCGCAAAACTTTCGCCATTCCTGATTTCTTCTTTATGTTGCACATTTCTTCTAGGTTAACATGAACATTTAAAGGTAACTTAAATGCCGAATGCGCAGTTCGTCTTCCTTCAAATAATGTTGCTGCAATTCCTGAAGAAGCTATTGCCAACGCAATATTATTTTGCGACCGCACACGCGCAAGAATCAGTGAAATAATAAATGTTTTTCCAGTGCTTCCGGGTGCGTCCAAAAAAAAGAATCCGCCCTGTTGTGCCTCAATTGACGTATTGATTTGATCATATACACTTTGTTGCTCGGCAGTAAGCAATATTTTATTATTAGCAACAAAAGTAGCTAAAGCAGTTTTATCAAACTGGTGTTCACGTTCAACATCGTTGTTCATGATATCTACTGCTGCTCGGCTCGGTGCTGACATGCCAAATTGAATTAGCGACATGTTCGAAATTTGGATACAAATATCTTCAATCATTATTAAGGCTTCGTTATATATTTGTTCTGAAAATTCATGATTATTATTTTGATTATTAATTTTATACCGATGCAAAATATCCTCACTCATTGGGTCTTTATGTGTATTCCACAGTGCAGATGCATCTGATGGAAAACATGTTGTTAATATTATTGCAAATAATTGTCGAATTTGATGTGCAGATGAAATCAGTGCTGCATCTGCAAGAGTCATGTCCCATTGATTATCATTCTCCAATAAGTGCAACTCACGGCACGCATCATAAAAAGTTTCATATAAAATACCATTGACTGTCCTCAAATTTTGGAATGATTTTGGTCCTATAACATTAATCAACAACAAACGTAAATAAAAGCATTCTCGTTGCTTAGGATGAACAGTATACAATCTAACCAAATTGTTTGTCATATATATGCCTTCGAATCCTGAAACAGGAATACCTCGTTTTCTAGGTACCCAATCTTTTGATTTTTTA